CCTCTCAACATGTCGCGATATTTTTGTAAGCTACTTTCTTGTGTTATAAATTTGTGGAAGTTACTTGTCTTTGCTTGCTATCGTTCAAGTTACTTTTTGAAACTTTCAAATAATCGAAATAACTATGTAAAAGTAATTTAGAGACTAGGGGACGAGTGGCGTCGTGGTATGAGGCGCCGGTATGGCCAGGTCGGACGCAGTTTCGATCCTGCCCCTGGGCCGACCAAGCCCTCTGTCTTCCGGGGCTGATAAATTAGTATAGAGTAGTCTGGGAAGAAAAAAAATTGATTTGGTAATCGGTTCCCCCCCCCCCCACCGCAAGTCATTGTAAAGGCTCGCACGCATTCAGTAGCCATTTTCACTATAAAGTGGAATGCTTTCGGTGCATGCCCGCAGATTTCTCCTTTATCCTAAAATTAATTTCCGTGTCGCACCTGCCCTATTGAGCATTTCTGTAATTCTAGGCCTATCAACCCATTGACAACTAATTTTGCGTGGAGGCGCTGTGGGACGACGCGATTTTGCGCAACAATTGCGGCGCGGGAAAGTTTTGTTATTATTTACGAAATTTGAAAATGTTTTGTAAGCAAGTACAGCCATCCTCTTGGATGACGACTACAGGTTCCAAGAGTGCAAAAAACTGGAAAAAAGGTGAACTCTGGAAAAAATACTAGATCTGGAAAGGATATGATTTTGCAAGGTGTGTAGGCCACCGGTGGTCCACATCGTCCCTGGCGGCAAAAAGTGCGTGCTCCAGCGGTGGTCCACATCGTCGTCAATGGGTTAATAAGTGGGAAGGATCTTTAAAAAATATTATGTCATTCCTAAAGTTCGTTCTGTTTTTCCTATCATAATAACACGTGAAAAGACAGGCAAACGTTTCAAAAATTATCCGACGCAGCTTTTCTTCCTCTTTTTAGCAGTCATGTTTCTGTGCTGGTCACTCTTGTGGTTATTGAAATAATTGCCGGAATTTGGAACCCATGTTTTTTACCAGTCCCAATTTAGCGGTTTTTCGGAACCCCATTTTTGGAACTTTTGGATAAGCTTCGATAGCAGTCAGTTAGCGTAAACAAGATGCAATGCATTATAAATGAATGCTAAATAAAGCTTTAGTAAATAAAAGCTTCTCAAAATTTTTGAAATTATATTTCTAATGCTATCAAATTCCAGCTTTGGTCGTCCCAAAAGTCATAGAACAAATAACGGAGCACAACTAAGGTGATTGCAGCTTTTCCTGCCCTTTCTATGGGTGTTTTTTTCCAACTTTTGGAATTTTTGGCAATAAAATTTCCATCATTCTCGCATTTGAACCCGCCTCAGACTGTAAGCGTTGGATGCGGAATTTGATCTTTTAAAGCGGTGACTGCTCAGTCAATTTGTAAAAATAGTGCATAATTATAATCGAATCTTAAAAGTTCTAAAATTCGAAGATTTGGCAATGTTTGGAGTTTGTGTATTTTGCGACATGGCAAAAATGAAGACTGGAAAAGTTATTTAAAAAAATACTGAGAAGCCAGTTTGGGATGCAAAAAAGTTATATTGCATTGCACTTTGTTTACGCTATCCGAATGCTATCGAAGCTTTTCCAAAATGAATTGAAGGATTTGAAAAATCGTCGAAGTTGGACAACGTAAAAACCGTGGGTTCAAAATTTCGACAAATTTTAGTAATCGCGAGAAGATCCAGCACAGAAACATGACTGCAAAAAATAGGGAGAAAAGCTGCGTCGGATATTGTCTGAAACATTTGCGTGCCTTTATTCCACGTGTTTTTATAGGTTAGATGATAGGTTGAAAAAAGGAAAGAACTTTCGGAACAACCTAATAAATCTAGCTTGCCTCACGCGCTTTACCTGAAACAATTTGTTTGCTCCCCCCCCCCCCCGCGAACGACATCACCGGCAGTTTGTCCGTTACTATCTCGTTCCAAAAAATCATTTGCTAAGCATTAGGTAGCATTCTGTAAAGCTAGCTTTTTGGATTTGCAGCAAAGAGCGAATCACCAACTGTTTTTCATTACTGCAATATTGCAATAGTAGTAGCATTCAGCATTTAGCATACATCGATATTGTGCAACAAGCCTTTTGAAAAAATTCTTTAAAAAATTTGGAAATTGGTGCAGCAGTGTTGATCAGCGAACAAATTCACCTGAATGCTTTTTATGAGCTTTTCGAGCTTTTCAAGTGATTCAGTTCACATTTTCAATGAGCAATAAAAACAGTTACAGTCTAACAAAAACTTATACAAGAATTTAAACGGTGAGGCGCTAATTTTATTTATAAAGTCGGCGAATCTGGCTAATGTTCGAGCCTCTAGCTTATTTTGTTTTCATGGCAAGGAAAAATGTTTTTCATTGGATTAAAGTCTCTTCGAGGTTGTCTAGCTGATTCTGCAGAAATAAACGGCGACCAGTATCCAAACCATTATGAAGACCTAATTTGGCCAGCTCGACGGAATGAAATAATATAACTTTCCGTAAAGGAGCAGCACATCCAACAAAAGAAAGTCCTTAAAAGTTCTGTCTTTCGATGCAGCTTTTTATCTCCTCCCAAGTGGTTAAGTTTCCTTTGCGAGTTAGCCTCACCCGTGGAATGCCAACGTTAAGTCAATTTTCCTGAATTTGCATAAGGCCGCGAAGGCGTCCAAGCTAGAGTTGGATAGAAAACTGGTGGGACAAGAATCTCATCATAAATTTCCCATCAGCTCCCAACGATTACGCAGTTCAGTTTTTCAAAAAACTGACATCTTGTAAGTGAACAATAACTGCCCCCTAGTCCTCGAACTTTATTAGGTTGTAAAGAAAGTTTCCGGGCACCTATGGAAATTTCATTGACGCATTTTCCTGGCACTCTGTCGAATACCAACGAACGTTTTTATACCATTCATAATAAAAAAGCCTAAACTTTTCGAAGGCGCTTCTAGTTTTTATCGACATAAAACCGTGTTTGGTCTGCAAAAAAGAAATTCATTCCAACCGTGAAAATTTTACAATTTTTCTTTCTGTTGCCAAATCTCTGCGCAATTCAAAAATTTTCGTTCAAACTTTGAGCGATCTGAATGATGAGCCTGCCAACTTTTAAATAGTGGTTGCACTCGAGCTTTACGATTTGCGCCCAGAAATTACAAGCCGGCGAACTTGCTTCTGACTTGGAGCTCTTTTCGCAACTGGCGTCACTTCTGTGGGCATCGCCACGCCTGGGCGATGGACCCAAAAGATGTGCAAGGTATTAACCCAACAATGTCTGCGATAATCAAGATTTTGGTTCACTCTCTGCAGAACAAGAAGTCAATCAAAGTCTTTAAAGTCAATCACTTGAAGAATGGTGCATTTTTGAGGAAAACATGGTCGATTTTTCAAACTATTTGAAAAAAAATTTTCTGTAGGTGGTCCCTCAAAAACATGAATGGTCCTCATTACAGCTCTCACAGACTTTCATATGACTAGCATTTGAGCTCTCCAGCTCTAATCATGCCTGGATAATCCTGCACCAACAGGCCATTTTCACGTCGGCCTTTTTCCCTTCTGTGCGTGCTTGTGGATCGTTATGAAGCACTGAAAAGACAACAGAATGAGAATATGTTGTAGACAAAATTGTCTTTGAATGGGGTCTGCAGCTTTGCAAAAGGATCAATCTGCTTAAAGTTATAGCGACTTGAAAAAATTTTCCTAAGTGCCCGGGAACCTCCTTTACAACGTAATAATTTTATGGGTTTTGATTATTTTAAACCTTTCCGCGAACGGTCGATTAATTACCAGCTCTGACCATCCAACGACCAAGGACAGAAGACAGGAAAAACTTAGTGAAAGAAACCGTGTTTGGTCCACCGGATGACTCCTATGCGAATGTCAGAAAAAGATCCCCAGCCGAAATTGCAGTCGGTCAAGCAGTTTCTGGCCGGAATAAAGGACGGATTCTTGATAGAACGATTGCAAAGTACGTATAGCTCCAAAATATTGCCTTGTGTAGAATCATCACTGATTTGTATTCTAATGAACCGTGGAGAATGAATGAAAAGTGTAGTGTAGTATGTGAAATCAGCATTTCAAGACGAATGCGACAGATATAATACAGTTTACCAGCATTAGTCCAACCAAGCTATGACCATTCCCTTAACTTATTCTGGAATACAGGGTGTGCCAAAAATACCTACTGTTTGGTTGTCGAGAAGCTTTAGGTATCGTTTTGTAGAGCGAGGTAAACTTAGATTTACAGTATGGAGCGAATCATCAATCGCTGCTCATTACTGTAGGATTACGGTAAGAACTTCCAGCACATATGGAACATTGTAAAACATATCATCTAAGAAGTTTTCTTTCAAAAAATCTGGAAAATCATGTACTAGGGTTTTCGTGCATGCTGATTCCACCTAATAGCTTTTCACGAGTGTTTTCAGCTTTTTGACAGTGTAATCACATTTCTGACAAATGCTGGACATTGAGTTATCGCAATTTACCGGGGATCACTTGAGAAAGAAGCATCACAGTAAAATAGGAATTCCAAATTCGAAATCAGCGGCTCTTATTACCGTAGTGTGAGAGTTTTTGGCTTGTTTGGTTTTGTTCCGAGGCAGAACATAGTTGCCAATGGCCTAAAATCCTTGTTGAAATTCGTACCGTAATCCTACAGCAATGAAGAGCGATTGATGATTCGCTCCATATTGTAAATCTAAGCTTACCTCGCTCTACAAAATGGTACCTAAAGCTTCTTGAAACACGTCATTACAAGAGAATTATTTGCAACCAACAGTAGGTATATTTTTTGGGACACCCTGTATACTTCGCTCGAAGACATTTTTGCATTGCTTAAGTTGAAGAAAGAATAAGATTTATACCAACACTGCCTTGCACTTCCGAATAGTACGAATTTCGATCTTGGCATTCAAATCAGGAACGAACATTCAAGAAGTGCATGCAATATTGATCTTCCAATAGTTCCACGCAGATGCACTTTTGTTAGTGTATATATACAATGGGAGTAATGTGTGCTAGATCCAACGATGAGCTCGATAGCGGTTATCTCAATTGTAAGGTGTTCAGTATCGCAGTTTCGGTCTCGTTAAAGATCTTCAGGCTTTCGTGGTGACTGGTCTCGCCGAACCGGAAAAGGTCAAGATTGTGGATAAGAAATATGATCCTTGCGACCCAATGTGGGAAAATCCAACGGCGTATTCATTCATTAGTGGGCTCACCGGCATTTTAAGAGCAGACATTAGGAAAAAAAACGTGGGTACCTTGTCATAACTTAGTCTGTTTGCTGTATCAAAGGTATTCGCGAACTAGGAAATCTTGAATCATTTTCAGTTCATAACCTTATAAGCGCTCTCGAGAAAGTGTCACAGCTCTACTCGGCTTGAGTCCTCAGGCGACCTCGCTCAACCTTGCGCAGCGGGTTACGTACAAGGAAGGTATTCTTGGGGCATTCTTCCACAGTGATTGAAAATTCGCGAACGTGGCGCAATAAGCAGGACAGCTGCAGGGACCCGCGTTGGTAGAGCTTGACGCTTTCATTTAGACAGCCTGCAACTAAATTTTCAGAAGCGCTATAACTGCCAGTTTGAACGTTGGGCTGTAAGCACGCGAGATGTACTCAAGAATATAGACAAATACGATATTGCTGAGGTCAGAAAAAGCGCAAAGCAGCATAAAGAAAAGCATCCAGCATGGAATGCAAGAATGTTCGATGTCAAAGTTCTTTACGAGTGAGCGGATGATATTCAGAGTACCATCAAGCCATATTTCCAATTTATTTTCAGAAAGGAATTCAGAGAATTTGTGGAAAAATGGAATACCACTTTTGGCTGTGCTTCTAACTTGGATCTGGAAGAGGAAATAAGGAGAGGGAAACAATGGAACTTTACCCGGAAAGAAGAAGAAGCGAACAAAGAGGAAAAGAGAATAACCGACACCACATACCAGCTGGGCGTGGACGAAATAACCATGTCTCAAAATTACGAAAAAGAAAAACGGAGGATAGCGGCAGAGTTCGAAAAAGGAAAACAGAAGATAGCGGCAGCCAGAAAGAAGTTGGAAAAGGACCGGGAGCATTTGAAGGAAATGAGAAAAGCGCTGGCATTCGAAAAAACAGTGCTAGAAAATGAAAAACATTCCGCAGCAGTGAGAGCTGAATCCGATAATATTTTGGGGCTACACTCTTACGAGCGAAAGGATAACGAGACATTCGACGTGACTAATGAAACTCTATATTATTATGTGTGTTATTACTATTAGGTTCGAAAGAAAAGAATGTCGCTTTTTTCGGTTCAAGCTGGAATTGTATTTCTCAGGAACCAGGGCATATCCAAATCCAAAATTTTATGGGTGAAGTCTTAAAGGTTTGTGGTACACAACTACATAAATGGAAGAAGCTCAGAACTACTAGGGCCGAGTTGCCGTCTTTCGTTCTTCGATTTTTCTTCTTAAATTCTACGTGCTAAACAATTCTATCAAGTGCACATGTTTATACAAAAATGCGTCTGCTACATATAGGAGCAAGTGAGAGGTTCGTGGGATTTTTTGGGGCCAAAATCCCATCTTTGGCACTATAAGTTGCTCTCATGTTTTGGTTCTAGACAGCACGACCCACGGTTTAACCCAAGATTTGAAGGCCATCTTGTAGTGCTTGCTTTGCTCTATCGAATGATATTCCTCACATATTTTTCCAGATCCGTCCTGTTGCTTTGCTGTAAAAAAAACGACATTCTTTTATTTCCAACTTAATACTTACGATGATTGGGTATTTGTCTTGCGCGATGCATTACTAATCAACTGCTGTACTTTATCTTTATATAAAAAATGTTGACTGAGTGACTGAACCGAAATGCATCAAGCAAAATCAAAGCCCTCAATTATCATCAATGTATGTGTGGCGTTTGGAAGAGCAACTCTTCCTTTCAAAAAAACTGCATTACAATGTCTTTTGATGCAATTCTCATTTACAACTGCAGAGCGGATGAGTAATATGTCCGCTTTCTTTGCTTCATTCGTTATCCGATTGTGTTTTTACCGACGAATAGTTTTGTGTCAGAGCTGTATGCATGAGTATTCTCGCTGAGGAGACAAGTATAGCTTCAAAGGGAGTCATAATCTAGAGCTTTGATCTGCATGTCAAACTGTCTATTCACCTCAAATTTTTCTGCTACCCTTCCCATAAACATATTGAACAGGAACGTGATGTTAGAAGTCGCATGACCCAGCTTTTCGGATAATTACCGACTGATCACAGCGGCCAAAAACGTCTTTTCAACAAGGAAATTTTCAATGAACCCTTTCCATAATTAGTAGGATGCTTTCATTGAATCAAAGAAGTAGAAATGATGGGAAGTTATACAGAATGCTGAAAGGGGCTTATGCAGCAACAACTCCTGTTTAGTATGTTTTTAGTAAGCGGATTTGAAATGCGTTTTTCTAAAAGGAGGAGCAGATGGTCGCGAATACGAGTCCTTTTTCTTTTCAACATTTTCGCAGGTACGAATACGTTTGGTTTGGGCTAGAAAAGGTGATCCATGTACATGCACAAACCGCAGACTATGTTTTACTGCTGAAAAATTGGGTTTTTAACAACTTTTTCTTACCAAGATTTTACCCACTGGTGTGTACATCCATCGGAATTAAAATCTTGTATGTGGATGATATGTATTGTTATATATGATTATTGTTATGTGCGTGTATGTATGTGTAAGGTATCTTATATATCAAGTTATGTATGTTATGTATGTTGTATATGTATGTTATATATTAGGTTGTTACATAAGTCTTGTTACACTTTAACTTCTTGCGGCGATAAGTCATGCACCTCATAACCGAAGGACTCCAGGGCACCATTCAATACAGCAAAGCAAGCTCTACAACATATTGTGCAAAAGTTCGCACCAACTTCGACCCACGGTAAGTTTGCAACCAAAATCTGGACCGTATGAAAGCTCAAAAAATCGCAAAAAATTCATATCTTTGTTCAAAAAATCCTACGAAACTCCAATTTGCTTAAAGAAATTGCACAATATATCAGACACTCATATGTACAATTTCTGTATTTCTTCCTCATCTAGAATTCGAGACAACGAAAATTTTCTTGCTTTTACAAAAACGAAGCTATGCGGTTTCCATTCGTGTAGCTGTATACTACAAGCCCATAGAAGTATAACTGTGAATTTTCAGCTTTCCAGAAGCCCTAGTTTTCGAAAGTTACCTGATTTAGCTTTGAACACCCGAGTGGAAAAAGCTGAATTCGGTATTTTTCGAAAATTAGGGTTTTTGCAAAGCTGAAAATTTACGGCCATACTTCTAAGGGCTTAAAGGCATATGAGTGTCTGATGTGATAGTATACAACCACATGAATAGAAACAGCATAGCTCTAAAAACAATTTTTTTTGTTTTTTCGAGTTCTAGATGAGGAAAAAATACATGAATGGTACATATGAACGTCTGATGTGGTGTCAATCTGCCTGAGCAAGTTGGAGATGCGGAGAATTTTTTCTGAACGAAAATATGAATTTTCCTCAATTTTCTGAGCCTTCAGTGCGACTCACGTTCCGGATGCAAACTTACGAGCTGGTGCGGACTTTTGCAAACTATCTTTTAGAGGTTGCTTAGCTCTATCGAATGGTACCCTGGATCCCTATTAAAATTTTGAAGTCACGACTTATTGTCGTAAGGAATTTAAGTGTAACAAGACTTATGTAACAACCTAATGTAACAAACTGCGAAAAAATGCTTTGTTTTGATCACTTTATTTATCATATCATGTTTGCGCATAAACGTTTCTAAACCAGTATGCATGTGGGTCTCTTCAACGATTCAAAACGATAATTTTTACCAAAAGTGTGTAAAGTTTGTCCGAAATTTAGTCTTGTTTTAGCGCAGCTTTTTTCTTACAAGAGAAGGATACTTGGTGACCGTGGCTTTTTGGAATGAAATGAACACCATTAAATGCAACTTGAGGCGCTGATTCCAAATTTGCTTTCGATATCTGCTGCGCGCTTTTCCGAAAGAAGTTGTGAACATTTTTTATCACCAAAATTTGCACTGTTTTGATGGCAGGATTTACCAATATCGTTGAGTATTCACTTATGCGCTACAAAAAAGCCTCCAAATAAAACAAGGCCTTACGTTAAGCCCAGAAAAACTGTCTTCGAGAGTGCAAAATGTCCGGATACTGACAAGTTTGAGTGCCCAGGCCTCGTGAAATTGATATAGACAAAGTTGTCCATGACTAGGTTCATAGAGTCGCGCAGCAGATAATGAACATAGATTTAATCGGCGTTTCAAGGCGCATCTACTTGCATACGTCTCACTGCAAAAGGCCATGGCCACCAAGTATCCTTCCTTTGTTGGAGTTTTGCACCTGTTGCAGAAATATGATCGTCATCTATAAGCACTTTTCTTTCTCTTTCTAGTGCTTACTAATGCTTCACGAAACAACTTCCCACTGATGAAAGTTTAAGCCCCGAAGCCAAGTTGCCAAAATGTAGACATGCTCAAGAAAAAGTTTCCACAGAGAGGATCCCCGCAGTAAGTTAAACGTTCTCTCTTCTCTGAACCTGGGCATTTGGACTGATGTTATTAGTTGTCATATGATATTATGCCAGTGCCAGGTTTGTACGGTGGAATGTTTTATTGGCCTTACGTTTCGACAAAATCGTCTTCGTCAGAGGCCTGAAAGTAGATTGCAGTGTTATCTGTGGGACCAGACCGCCAAACGCCTCCCCGCACTGCCGAGTCTAGACCACGCTCTGAACTCAACGTACAGGGGCATGTCGACCAGAAGACGCACCTTTATCCACCGTGGTGTTAGTGAGAGTCAGTAGAGTCAGTACTTAGTCGCACCGAAGAGACAGACGACACTAAGTGCTGTCCTATGATCGTCACTTATATATGTGCAGACTATCGCTCACAGATCGTTAAGATAGGCAAAAGTTCGGCTGTTATTGATACACATTCATTTTTGTTATTCATGCTAGGATTTCGAAGGGAAATCCACGCTGCCTCAACGGTTTTGAAAAAAAAAACCGTTGAGGCAGCGTGGATTTCCCTTCGAAATCCTAGCATGAATAACAAAAATGAATGTGTATCAATAACAGCCGAACTTTTGCCTATCTTAACGATCTGTGAGCGATAGTCTGCACATATATAAGTGACGATCATAGGACAGCACTTAGTGTCGTCTGTCTCTTCGGTGCGACTAAGTACTGACTCTACTGACTCTCACTAACACCACGGTGGATAAAGGTGCGTCTTCTGGTCGACATGCCCCTGTACGTTGAGTTCAGAGCGTGGTCTAGACTCGGCAGTGCGGGGAGGCGTTTGGCGGTCTGGTCCCACAGATAACACTGCAATCTACTTTCAGGCCTCTGACGAAGACGATTTTGTCGAAACGTAAGGCCAATAAAACATTCCACCGTACAAACCTGGCACTGGCATAATATCATATGACAACTAATAACATCGATCCCCGCAGTGTTCCGTTCCCGCAATCAAATATGTAATATTTTATAATGACTAGTAGTGGGCTAACAGGCGCACACCTTTCTTTCGACCAAAGTAAATATTACTTCTCCTCTTTTTTTAAATGTGGAAGAAAACTCAGTTATTCAACGAGCAACAACAATCTACGTAACAACGAAAGTGGTGCATTCAGTATTGCATGTGATAGATAATGCGAGAGCAAGCGAGTACCATCGACCAGTCAGCTTAATTCGTTCGCGACAGCAAACAATCAAATATTAAAAATTCGGCATCGCGCGCGGAGGGAGGGCTCAAATAATGGATTTTTTGATTTGCTTGTAAAAATTCCTGTGCAGCAAAAATAGCTCGAACTTCTCTTTAGTCATAAAAAGATCTTTGAAGTAAAGGCTACTCAACGATGGCAGCCAAATATGTCTGCCTGTCTCTATGTGGAAGCATTAGTACGTCAAAGTAGACAGTTTTAGAGAGAACCTTACAGAATTTTCCAAATTTTCTCTTCTCTCTCGTTTGCCTCATTATATGGCATACTGTGCCTATGATAAACATAATCGCTAGATACAAGAAAATTTGATTTGTTCAAAGATGTTGATTTTGAAAGGAGTTATAACATTTATAATCAGAAAATCAGCAAATCGGACAGAACTTTCGGAGTAACTTAGTACTGTCACCCACATATAATGCAGTTTGTTATTTCAATATATAACATACATAAACATACATGTAACATACATAACATGAAAGATACAACATGCATACATATACATACC